GTTTTTTTTGTTGTTGTTGTTGTTGTTGTTGTTGTTGTTGTTGTTGTTGTTGAACATTATTTCTTCTTAAGAATAATTATTGTTGGGACCCCTGGTGCGCGACCCCCCCGCCGCGCCTAGGCCGCAGCCACATTTTCATCATTTTCGTGAGGAAGTCTCAGGCAAAACGATTGGTACCGGATCCGGTTTTTTGTTGACGCTCGTTTTCCCTTGCAAAAAACAATAGAAAATGAAAATTCTTGTTCTTAGTTGATCAAATTGCAAGAATCCCTTGCAAAAAATAAGGTAAAGTGGACATTCGTGCGCGCAAGACGAAATCCTTCCAAAACCTTAGGTTTCGTAACGATTTTAACATAAAAACATCAAAAACCCAATGGTTTTTTAAGAAAAAATTGTCAAAATGTCCTTCCGCGCGCGCTGTCCGAATCCTACAAAACCAATGGTTTTTCAACATTTATGTTACATGAGCTCGCGCGAGCTACTTTTTCTTGTTCTAACATAATCAAATTTCAATAATCCCTTGCAAAAAATAAGGTAAAGTGGACATTCGCGCGCGCAAGACGAAATCCTTCCAGAACCTTAGGTTTCGTAACGATTTCAACATAAAAACATCAAAAAGCCAATGGTTTTTCAAAAAAAAATGTCCAAATTTCATCCCGCGCGCGCTGTCCGACTCCCACAAAACCAATGGTTTTTCAACATTTATGTTACATAAGCTCGCGCGAGCTACTTTTTCTTGTTCTTACATAATCAAATTTCAACATCCCTTGCAAAAAAAAAGTAAAGTGGACATTCGCGCGCGCAAGACCAACAAAAAACACGACGATCTCAGGAACTTGCCCCAAAAATGTGGCCAACTCCGCTCTCTCTGTCTCTCTCTCTGTCTGCTCTCTGTCTCTCTCTCTGTCTGTCTGTGTCATGTATTGTATGTCACAATTGCAGGATGCTGGGCACACGCGCGCCCCGAATAAGTGACCAAGTTCTGTGGGTGTGTACCCCACGCCAGTGTAGTAGCCACGGTCGTCCGCACGCCACGAAGTGAAGTGTCCCAACGTCATAGGGCGGGAAGCTGGGTTTGGGTGGTCGCGAAGAGTCGTTTGGATATTTGGTAGAGCTTGAACTGCCCCCCCACGAAGTGGGGGTATTGTCTCGCGTCGCATGAAAACCCTGGCACTGGTGAGAACACTGAGCGTTCGGGTAAAATGATTGTTGTTGTTGTTGTTGTTGTTTAGGGCGGGAAGCTGGGTGTGGGTGGTGGCGAAGAGTCGTGTGGATATTTGGTAGAGCTTGCACTGCCCCCCCACAAAGTGGGGGTATTGGCTGGCGTCGCATGAAAACCCTGGCACTGGTGAGAACACTGAGCGTTCGGGTAAAGTGATTGTTGTTGTTGTTGTTGTTGTTGTTGTTGTTGTTGTTGTTGTGATTCGCGAGGACGCTACTGGAGGCCCGTTGCTCGCCCCCCCCCCCGAGCAACGCCACGGGGCCACGTACGGGCCCCGCAGGGCCCCTGGTCCGAGCAACGCCACGAGGCCTCGCCAGGCCGCTGCAGGGGTCTGCAGGGCCCGGCGGCGTGGCTCGGCATGTCCTTTCGGGGCTGCTGCGGAGTCCCATACAGGCCCCAAGGGCGCACCCCTCTCACGGATCGTGGCCCTGGCCCCACAGGGAGCTCCACCGAGGCTTGACTTCGGCGCGCACCTCTCGAGGATCGTGGCTTAGGGAGCTCCACCGAAACTTGATTTCGGCGCACCCCTCTCACGGATCGTGGCTCTGGCCCCACAGGGAGCTCCACCGAGGCTTCATTTCGGCACACCCCTCTCGAGGATCGTGGCCCTGGCCCCACAGGGAGCTCCACCGAAGTTTGATTTCGGCGCACCCCTCTCACGGATCGTGGCCCTGGCGCCACAAGGATTCTTATTATTTATTATTATTATTATTATTATAGGCTTCCTACAGAATCCTAGAGGATTCCATCGGTCTCCTATAAGAATTATACGGGATCCATACACGGTCCTACAATATTCCATAGGAACCCTATGGGAATCCTGTTGGAATCCCATAGGATCCCTGCAGGGTCCTACAGAAGCCCGTAGGAAACCATTTGGAATCCTGTAGGAGTCCCATAGGACCCCTACAGGGTCCTACAGGATTCCATGATAATCCTATTGGACTCCTTGAGAAAACCTCCTAGGATCCCTGCAGGGTCCTACAGGATTCCATCGGAATGCGATTGGAATCCTATTGGAATCCTATGGGGTCCCTACAGGGTCCTACAGGATTCCATAGGAATCCTATTGTAATCCTTTTGAAATTCCTATAGGGTTCCACAGGGTCTTGCAGGATTCCATCGGCATCCTATCGGAATCCTAGTGGAAATCCTATAGGGTCCCTGCAGGGTCTTACAGGATTCCATAGGTATCCTATTGGAATACTACTGGAAGCCGATGGGATCCCTGCAGTGTCCTGCAGGATTCCATAGGAATTCTATTGTAATCTCATTGGAAACCTATAGGGTCCCTACAGGGTCCTAACAGGATTCCATAGGAATTCTATTGGAACGACAGGATCCCATTGAAATTCCATTGGTATCTTATGAGACTTCTATTGGAATCATACAGGATCCCTACAGGGTCCTACACGATTCCATAGGATTCCAATAGGAATCCTATTTGGGGTCCGATAGGATCCCTACAGGGTCCTACAGGATTCCATTGGATTCCAATAGGAATCCTATTGGGGTCCTTTTGGATCCCTATACGATCCGTTCAGTGTCCTACAGGATTCCATAGGAACCTTATAGGAGTCCTATAGGATCCCTACAGGGTCCTACAGAATTCCATTGGAATCCGATTGCAATACTATTGGATACCTATGTGATCCCTACAGGGTCCTACAGGATTCCGTCGGATTCCTGTAGGAATCTTATATGATCCCTACAGGATTCCATAACAACCCTATAGGACTTCGAGGGGGGCCCTATAGGATCCTTACAGGGTCCTACAGGATTCCATCGGAACCCTATAGGAATCCCATAGGATCCTTACAGGGTCCTGCAGGATTCCTTAGGAGTCCTATAGGGAGGAGGAGCTGGCCTCGCTGGCGCGCGGTCGGTTTTCGGACACAGGAGTACGTGGGGAACAGTAAGGGAGCCCACGGAGATTCGGAAACACATATAGATTTACGTCAGCGTATGACAGAGGTGTTGCGCGTTGCTCCCTCCCCCCGGGGGGCAACAACTGTAACGTGTGGCCTGGGGGAGTGCGCTCGCCCCGTGGCCTAGGACACCGCCACGGGCCCCGCCGGGGTGGCCTGAGAGGTTGTCCTTGCGTTGTTGTTGTTGTTGTTGTTGTTGCTGTTGTTATTGTTGTTCTTGTTGTTCTTCTTGTTGTTGTTGTTGTTGTTGTTGTTGTTGTTGTTGTTGTTGTTGTTGTTGTTGCTTTTGTTTTTGCTTGTGTTGTTGTATGTTAGTCAGTAAACAATTGTTGTTGTGACCCCCCCAGGCGCCTTGGCGCTCTCGCCTCGGCGCTGGCTACATTTTCATTGAAAATGAAGCTCACGCTCGCGCGGTTTGGGGGGCACCAAAACCGGCCCCCCAACAACAACAACGCTCCCGCTCGAGACGTCCTCCTTTCTTACTCATGGCCGGTGCTCTTGCTCGCTGCCGAAAGCCGCCGTCCCAACAAAACGAGCGCTACCGCTCGAGATTTCCTACCGTTTTACCTTGGACTGGCGCGCTACTCGTTCTCTCATCGGCGCCGCCCCCAGCAACAACAGCGCTCCCGCTCGAGACTTCCTCCCTTCTGTAATCAAGGCGGTGCTCCTCCTCGCCGCCGAAAGCCGCCGTCCCGACAAAGCCAGCGCTCCCGCCCGAGACGTTCTCCCGTTTTACGCTGGACTGGCGCCCTACTCTCTTTGAATTGGCGCCGCTCCCAGCAACAACATCGCTCTCGCTCGAGGCTTCCTCCCTTTTCCTCAGGATGATGCTGTTTCTCGCCGCCGACAGCCCCCGTCCCGACAAAACCACGGCTCCCGCTTGAGATTTCCTTTTTTTTGACTGACATCGGTGTTCCTCCTCGCCGCCGACAGCGGCCGTCCCAACAAAACCAGCGTTCCCGCTCGAGACATCGTTTTGTGTTACGCTGGACTAGCGGCTAGCGCCCTACTCTCTTCAGTATCAGCGCCGCTCCCAGCAACAACAGCGGCCCTGCTCGAGGCTTCCTTTTTTTTTTTTCCTCAGGACGGTGCTGTCCTCGCCGCCGTCAGCCCCCGTCCCGACAAAACCACGGCTCCCGCTTGAAATTTCCCCCCTTCTTACTCAAGGCGGTGTTCCTCCTCGCCGCCGACAACCGCCGTCCCAACAAAATCAGCGTTCCCGCTCGAGACGTTGTTTTGTTTTACGCTGGACTAGCGCCCTACTCTCTTCAGTATCAGCGCCGCTCCCAGCAACAACAGCGACCCTGCTCGAGACTTCCTCCCTTGCTATTCAGGGCCAGGTCCTTGCCTCGCCGCCGACAGCCCTCATCCCCACCAAGGCAATCCTGTCGCTCGATACTTCCTTGTGCTTTACCCTTGGTTGGGGCTCCATTGGCGGTCTCGCATCGGCGCAGCAAGGCGCGTGGCACTGGGTCACTCATGCCGTCTTGAAAGTCCGGATGTCGGAGATGGCGAGTATGCCGGAATTGTACAAGTACATGAGAAGTTCATTGATCTTTGCCTCGGGGGGGACTGGACCGTCTTGGCCGTGTTGGTTGTCTCTTCGGGGCCTCTCTTGGGCCTTGTTGGGCTCCCTCGGACCGTCTCGTGACCGTCTTGGGCCTTCTTGTCGCGCCCCGACGTGGGCCAGGGCCAGCGCGATTTACGCTGTGGCTGACATGCTCTATGTGCAGGGGAGCTGATTGTTTCGGTACAACTCTGAACATTGTGATGCTCCAATCAAAACCTCTACGTCGCGTCTCAGTTTCTCAGAGGCGAATGCCGCTGTCGCATTGCGCGCATGGCGCCAGGGAGTCATCGTGCTCACGAAGAACGAGCGCATCAGTGCCTACAGGGTCATGAGGCACAGCGTCTTCGAGAGCTTCTTCGGCGTGTTTAAGGCGATCTCCGCCTCGGAGCCTCCGCTGGTTGACATTCGTGTCAGCAGGAAGAGCGGGCTGATGATGCCGAGGAAGAGGAGAGGTTGGATGATGAGCAAGATGAGGAGGACCCTCTATGCCAACCGCCAGAGCTTCCGATACCCCCCCTTACATTCCGTAAAACCATCTCAGATCTCCATGTTCCCCTTCATGGAGGAGGTATGGTGATGACGACGATGACGATCACGATGACGATGACGATGGCGATGACGATGACGATGATGATGCTGCTGCTGATGATGATGCTGACGATGATGATGAGCCTGAACATGATGTTGCTGCGGATGAAGCTGATGGGCGATGATGATGAACCTGAACATGATGTTGCTGCGGATGAAGCTGATGGGCGATGATGATGAAGATGAATCTGACAATGAAGATGAATCTGACGATGCTGATGATGATGATAATGATGATGAAGATGAGGAGGATGAGGATGATGATACTGATGATGCTGATGACGATGACGACGACGATGATGATGATGATGATGCTGATGATGCTGACGATGATGCTTCTGCTGCTGATGCTGCTGCTGATGACGATGCTAATCGTATCGATGGTTATGGTGATGCTGACTGCGATGGCGAATATGATGACGGCGGCGACGACAATGATGATGACGATGTTGCTGCTGACGATGATCATGGTAATGATGATCATGATGATGCTGATGATGCTGATGCTGACGATGGTGATGATGCTGATGATGATGCTGCTGATGATGATGATGATGGCGGTGATGGTGATGAAAACGGTGGTGATGCGATGATGTCGTGGTGGTAATGACGATAACAATGACGATGACGATGATTCTGATGCTGATGATGAGCATGATAACGATGCTGATGCTGCTGCTGATGATGATGATGCTGATGCTGGTGATGATGATGATGATGTAGATGATGCTTTTGATGATACTGATGTTGATGATGATCATGTCGATGATGCTGTCGATGATGATGATGATGATGATGATGATGATGATGATGCAGACGCAGATGATGTTGATGACGATGATGATGATGATGATGATGACCATGCTGTTGATGATGCTGCTGATGATGATGCTGATTATACTAATGATACTGATGATGATGCTGCTGATGATGATGATGCCGATGACGATTACGATGTGACGATGACGATGATGCGCATGATTATGATGATTGTGATGATGATGATGATGATGATGATGATGATGACGATGATGCTGATTGTGATGATGATACTGATGACGACGATGATGATGCTGCTGATGCTGCTGCTGATGATGATGTTGCTGATGATGATGATGCTGATGCTGACGATGATGATAATGATGATGATGATGATTATGATGATGATGATGATGATGATGCTGATGCCGCTGACGATGACGATGACGATGACGATGATGCTGCTGATGCTGATGCTGACGATGATGCTGATGATGATGCTGCTGATGATGATGCTTATGATGATGCTGATGATGACGATAATGACGATGATGACGATGATGATGATGATGATGATGATGATGATGATGATGATGACGATGCTCATGATGATGATGATGATGATGATGATGATGATGATGATTCTGATGATGATGATGATGATGATGATGATGATGATGATGATGATGATGATGATGATGATGATGATGATGATGATGATGATGATGATGATGATGATGATGATGATGATGATGATGATGATGATGATGATGATGCTGATGATGATGATGATGATGATGCTGATGCTGATGATGATCTGACGATGAGCACTCGGGCACTGGAGCAAGTCTTGGAAGCGGAGCGTGGTCGTCTGGGCTAAGGTTGGCTCAACGTGGCCCCGTGCGGCGGCGCCCTCCGCCATCCGCGAGGCGCTGCCGGCAGGCCACCCGACCGAGGAGCGAAGCATGCGGCCGCCGCGAGGGTGGTGCTTTCCGCCCGCCAGACCTGGACTCCTGGATCTGCCCTGCGAGGGCACTGGCCCCCCTTGCGGTCGGGGGCGGCCAAGAGTCGGCTGCTCGTGAGAGTGACCTTTCGCAGCAGTGACCGTCGATGGGCCGATTTTCCACCACCACTACCATAGGTAGGAGAGGGAGGAGGAGAAGGAGGAGGCGGAGGAGGAGGGGAGGAGGACGACCTCCCCATCCTCCCTTCTCCCCCGTCCTACACACTGCAGTGGTGGTGGAAAATTGGCCCATCAACCCTTGGTGCACGCTGGGGTCCGCAGATGGCTGCATGCGATGCGACAGCAGCGGCTTGCGCGCTCGGGCCTGGCCTCTCCGCGCCCCCCGAAAGCCGCGCACCAGAGGTCCACTCTTGGCCGGGGCCCCTCTTGCGTGTAGCCGGAAGGGGTGGAGCGTTCGGGAGCACCCCCATCCACCAGTGGGCGACGCGCGCACCGAGAAACCTTCTAGTATATGCGTCGTGGCGGGCGCGTTCTGGCCGTACCGCTCGGGAAACGCTATACTACAAGATGGGTGTACTACATGTTCGGGTCGGACGCGCGCCTCCAAGGAGGACATGTAGCACTAGTATGTTTCTGTGCGTCCCAGGTGATGCTTCGTCCCGTCGGCCCTAGCCTTCCGCCCCCGCGTTCGCCGTCGTCTGCTTGCTTCTCGCTCCCTCGCTCCCTCTCCGTCGCCGCGCAGCGCAGACTGCCTGGGAGCTGGCGGCGCCGGCGCGATCGGCCGATGGAGTTCCGCAGCATCTCACGGTTGGCGTCGGGGAGAGATCGTGCGGTGTGGCGCCGCAGGCCCGCTCGTGGCACGCTGGTCCCCGCTTCGGGGGCAGCGTGCACTGTGGAAGCCCTGGCAAGGGGGCAGCGTGCACAGAAGGGGCCCTCGCGGAAGGATCGCCTCACAGGGACAGCGTGCACTTCAGATATCGATGTTGCACGCCATCTTTCCAGCACCAGCTGTGGGGGGCGGTGGGTATTCTGGCCGGGGCCACGACATCTCCAGGGATGTCATGGCCCCCCTCTTCTTCTCTCAAGACGTCCCCGGGCCCCTCCCCACCCCACTCGCCTGCGCACATGCCTCGGGCTATGATCTGCGACCCACCCTCCCGTGGACGCCCCCCTCTCGGACCACCCCCAAGATTTGGTCCTGTGCAGGCGTGCTGATGTCGGATGTAAGCCCCGCCCCCTCTTGCTGCCCCTCCCCCGTCTCCCACCTCCCCGCCTTCCAGCATCCTCCTCCTCCTCCTCCCTCCTCCTCCTCCTCCTCCTCCTCCTCCTCCTCCTCCTCCTCCTGGGCATAGGGCACTCGGCGCCGTGCCTGCTCGCCCAGCCTGTCCGCCCGGCTGGCCCCCTGGTGCCGGGCTGGGTCGGCGGCCCCTCCAGCCCGCGGGGCGGGGGCTCCCAAACGGGGTGGTGACCACACCACAGACATGATCGCGTCGTAAAAAATTCAGGACGGGAGGTTTTTGGCCAATTTCGGCTCCGGGGTGCCCTTGCCGGGCCTCGGGGCCGTGAAGAAACGACGCAGGCTGAAGGACCGGCCCCGGGGAAAGGGTCGGGACTTCCGGGGACGCCGTCCCGAATAGGGGGCCACATGCGAACCCTACCCCTACCCCCCACGATTTCTGAGGATGAGGGTGGGGTTCACTTCGCTCGGGAGCTCCCGAGCGAAGTGAACCCCACCCTCCCCCTCCGAAATCGTGGGGGGCAGGGGTAGGGTTCGCATGTGGCCCCTTACCGAAAAAATCCGGACGTCGCATGTCTGGGACCGTGTTGTGCGTCGGTGGGGATGCAGGGCCACCGCACGGTCTTTTGGAGCTCGGGTCGCTCGCCGAGGGCGTCCGAGGTCCCAGGGCCGTGCAGTGGCGGGCCGTGCAGTGAGGTTTTTTGGGGGGATGTCGAGGTCAGCGCACGGTCTTCAGCCACGCGCACAAGGGGGGTGGGGGGAGGGGGGGGGCTTCTTAGAAGCACCCCTGCTTCTTAGAAGGCGCGGGCCTTATCTAGATGTAAGGCCGGCGCCTTCCAAGAAGCAGCCTGCTTCTAAGAAGCCCTCCCCCCTCCCCCCACCCCCTTGTGCGCGCCGCCATGGTCTGTCACCGCACCGTTTCGGGAGTCCAAACTCGAAAGGCAGGAGGGAGGTGCTGCTGCTGCGGCTTGTCATCCGTCGTCGTCGTCGCCGCCCTCGTCGTCGTCGTTGCCGTCGTCGTCGTCGTCGTCGTCGTCGTCGCCGTCGTCGTCGTCGTCGTCGCCGTCGTCGTCGTCGTCGTCGTCGTCGTCGCCGTCGTCGTCGTCGCCGTCGTCGTCGTCGTCGTCGTCGCCGCCGTCGTCGTCGTCGTCGTCGTCATCGTCGTCGTTCGGGTATAGCCCGGATCCCAGGGAAGGGGACCCGGTTAGTAGTAGGGCCCCGGAGCCCCTAAATCGGCCAGAATCACTGAACCAGGTCTGCCGTAGCTGTAGTTTTTTCGGGTGACGGCAGTTCCGGTTAGTGGAACGGGGCGGGGGGGGGCGTCCCCCAGTACACATCACTAAACCAGGTCCCACTAAACCCAGTTCTGCCAACGCCCGAGTCGTCGCCGTCGCCGTTGTCGTCGTCGTCGTCCCTCCCCCGTGAGCTCAGAGGAGGAAAAGGTGCCGATACTAGTACCCTTGCCTCGTTCTGGCCTTCTTCAGGCCTCCTGGGAGGCTCTCGTCACTACCGCTGGATCCTCCTCGAAATCCTGTTCAGAACGCACCCCGGGGAATAGCATCATGGGTACTTTTTGGTTGCCCCACCCCCTTGGAGCACCCACCAAGCCCAGCTCGAGGAAGAGGGGTGGCCCACTCCCGCCCCCAGCCAGGCGACCGCCTACGTTACCATGGTCTTCTTCCTCATCACTATCGTGCCCAGCACGATCACCGACACATTCGGGCTGACCTCT